GTTCATTGAGAGCTTTCTGGTTACCCATTTGAGCCTCATTTTAATCCTAAAGGATGTAAGGCCACAGGCTAAAGTCATTCATTGGAAGAGACAAGGAAAACGACTCAAGAATATTACATTACTAAACCGATTTCCATTAGCCATGGCTTCCTTCAGCTTGAGTTTTGTGTTTTTATTTTCCTTTATCACACTTTAAAACCTTTCTCAAGTTTTATTTTTAGGACTTTATCCTATCTTCCACCTCTCAAATTAAAATGCAAACAAAACCAAGAAGTTTCATAATCACTCTTTCATCACAAACCCTGTTCATTCTTGCCCTCACTCTTGTTTCCCTCTTGCCTAAAAAGTACATGTGATGATATTCTGATCTGGGTGTCCTTAAATGGCTGGCTTCACTCATTCACTCAATAGATACTTATGGGGCACCTTCAAGAAACCAGGGTCTTAACAGTGAACAGAACAAAACATATCCTACTGGAACATCCATCCTAGTAGGTGAGAGGAGTCACTGTTGTGTATGGGTATACTCACACAATATATTACAAAGTGATGCAGAATGAAGAAACAGTACTGCAGAGGATGCTTATTAGGACTGCTGGAAGGGTGGCAGAGGGATGTTAAATGATTGGGACGGCCTCACTGAAAAATGAGACTTGAATTTGGGCCGAAGGTGGTGAGGGAGTTATGCCGAAGGTGGTGAGGGAGTTATGCAGAAGGATACATGGCCAGGCATGGTGGCACAGGCCTGTAACTCCAGCTATTCAGGAACCAGGAAGATCACAAGTTCAAGGCCAGCCTGGGCAACTTAGTGACACCCTGTCTCACAATTAAAAAAAAAGAAAATACACAGAGAACACTCCAGCCAGAGGGTGTCCGGCATGCTCAAAGAACCATGTAAGAGGAAGTCAATGGGGCAGGAATGATGAGCACAGGAGACTGAGGAGGGCAGGCATATCCCACAGGGCCTCAGAATCATTGGTAAAGAGACAGCTTTTACTTTTAGGATACGAAGAGTCACTGCAGCTTCTGCTTGGAACAAAGATATGTTCAATTTTAAATTAGATCTCAGCCTGAAGGCTGCTGGTGAGAACAGACTGTAGGGGTAAGGACGGAAGTGGGGAGTCCAGGGAGGCAGGCAGAACCGACAGCTGCCTAGAGCAGAAAAGCAGCAAGACAGACTTTTGAGAAGTGGTTGGCTTCTGGATGTATTTTGAAGGGAAGAGAACTATCTTTTCTAGCACACTGGATCTAGGTTAGGGAGAAACTGAGTTGCCAAGGATGGCAAGCAAACTCAATCACGTGAAGCAAAACCCCAAAATGACACAGTGGTATAGATGATCCAATACTCCTGGTTTATTTGGTCTTGTCACATTTTTAAATCTGCTTAGTCCATTATTCTATTTCTCCTCCCATCTAATCACGAAAGTCTAGGCTGAACAACTGTAGCAGACATAAAATTTCTTCTTTAAGAAACTATGGAAATAGGGCCGGGGATTTAGCTCAGTGGTTTTGCCACCTGCTGCACAAGCGCAAGGACCCAAGTTCGATGCCCAGTACCAAAAAAAAAAGAAACTATGGAAATGACTGCAATGATCAGAGATACCCTGTTCCAGAAAGTAAGCCAATGTGTCATGGCTACTCAAGCAACACTGGCCATTTACTGGGTGTGAGACTTTAAAAACTAGTCATTTCTCCTCTCTATGTCTCATTCTTTGCCTTAAAAAAAGAAGGTAGATATTATTACCAATAGGATTATTGTGAGTTCTAAATAATGAACAGAAACCACACTATTTAAAGCAGCATCCAGCACAGAGTGAAACATATTTTAGAGTTGTAATTATTACTGTCACTGTTGTTAAGTGGTCTTCTTGTTTCTCAATCTCTGAATGATTTCATGAGAAATAAAACCTGGAGAGCAAATGAGTCAAGTATAAATTTTCAAAACATAAATAATCTAAGGGATGCTCAAGCCCTGTATTTAAAATGACCTAGTATCTGCATATAACCTAGATATATCCTTGCATATACTTTATATCATCTCTAGATTACTTATAATACCAAATGCAAAGTAAATGATATGTAAATAGCTGTTCAGGGAATAATCACAAGGAAAAAACTTACACATGTTCAGTACAGATGCAAGTATTTTTCCTGGAATATTTTTATCTACAGTTACATAAATTCACAGCTATGGTCCCCGAGGATAATGAGAGCCAACTACAACTAGGAAATTCAAATATATGAAGATAGATAGTTCTCATGATTTTGATCTAAAATGCCCCCCAAAATTCTCACTTGTGTGAAAGTTGACTAAATCGAGTGGTGTTCAGGAGCAGCAAGTACTGTTAGGAGGTGAGGCCTGGATGGGAGGTGTGTCACAGGGGCATGACTTATAAGGGTGCATTCTCCTCCAGATCCCCCTTTATCTCTCTGCTTCCTGGCTGTCATGGGTTGAGTACCTTTTCCTCTACCATGTCCCTCTACCATCCTACTGCTGCCTTGGAGCCTCAAGACCATGGACTAAACCCAAACATAGACTGAAATCATAAGCCAAATAAACCTTTCCTCCTTTCAGTTGCAAGTGTCAGGTATTGGGTTCCATGACAGGAAAGTGACTAAGACAAGTATATATAAATACTTATATAGTGTGTGTATACAAACACACACACACACACACACACACACACAATTTGAGCCTGTTTTCTTCTCCCAGCCTCTGATATGAGATGAATTTCTACCAGAATCTCTCTCATAGGAAATAGCACTTCCAAGCAGTTTTTTAAAAACATTTCTGATCTGCAGTTGTATGAACTCATGAATGCGGAACCCAAGGATACAGAGGGCCAGATAACTCAGAAATTCAGACAGACACAGGGGTATCATATATACATGTATTTTCAACTTAAATCTATTCTCTTCTCTCAGCCTCTGATAACACATAAATTTCTACCAAAATATCACTAAACAGCAGATAACACTTCCATCCAGTGATTCTCAAGCCCAGCTGCATCTTAGAATTTCTTGGAGAGCTTTAAATAAATATATTAATACTAATGCCCTGACCTTTATTTCTGATCTACTTGAAACCAATGCTGAGAACTGCTGGTCAAATGAATCCTATAAGTATTATTTACTGAGTTTGGGAGTCAGGTAATTGTTTAAACTGTAACTCGGAACTTCTGGATTTAAACTAGCATCATCCTACGAACTGGGTTCTGGGGTGAGATAATGCAACAGGCTAGATGAGAAAACCTCTTAACTTGCTCTACACCAGTGGGCTGTATCACTGAAAGCTCTAAAAGGTTCGCCATCACTGCTCTATATATTCTCAAAGGATGATCCTAACTAAACCTGCAAAACAGAAGTTAATGGTCTTCCAAATGTTCTCTCAAAAAATGCTTGATGACTGATGGTGGATTTCTTTGGGGGGGGGGGGGGGGGACCGGGGATCGAACTCGGGACCTTGTACTTGTGAAGCGGGCAGCAGAACCACTGAGCTAAATCCCCGGCCCAATAGTAGATTTCTTTTAAATGAAAGTGCACACCATTCTATTCCATTGTCCCTGGCAAAATCCTAAGCCCTAGTGCCAAGCACCTGATTACAATTACTTCCGCTGTTTCCTTACTGATTCATAATAATAACATGCAGCTTTGTCCTTAGAAATGTGAATCTTTTTTTTATTTTTTTAAAAAATCTATCATGTAAAATATCAAGCCTCCACAAAATATTAGTTCACAACATAAAGAAAAAAATGTTTACAATTTTTTTTTTGCCTGTTAGCATTTCAGGAAACTGAAAAACAGCTTTCTACAATAAGCTCGTTTCTTCCTTTAAAATATAATACTTATTAAAACTTTATTAAATACTAGACATTTCAGGTGCTTGGGGCTATAGCAGGTCTGGTCTTAATATTCTTCTAGATGTTTAATGATACATAAATGTAAAAATAAGTATAGCTGTAGTTCACACATCTAAAGAGTAGGCTAAGATAATGAACATCTAAAATAACATTAGAAAAATTACATGGAACCATAATTTACTAAGTACCTATTATAAACTGTAAGGTGTATTAGTTTGTCTCTATGGCACTTATTTAATAAACTTGCTGTCCTAAACAGATGAAGTTACCATTTAGAAGAAATTAATGAAAGTCAAACAATGAAAGCTTTCCTTTAGCAATTTAAATAGTTTTCCGTACTACAGGGAAAGCTCCATCCTTAAGTCAACAGGAATAAACTAAGACAAGACAGTATCAATTCATTCACACAAGCAAATTTTTCCCATCAGTTTAACTGGAGTAACCCCGAAAGGATTTGGGGTTAAAAAAGAAAAATCAAGACATAAAAGTACATTTCCAATTTATTTTTAAGTTGAATATTATATACACTGTATCTTAAAGCATGTTTCATAAACTACAGCTTTGTAGATAGTCTTAGGCCACTGAGCCTCCTGGTGAAACCATACTAATAAAGATACTGCAAAACCAGTAAGAGAAAACATTACTAGGTGCAGTAATGAGTCCTTTAGCTTTTTTTAAACACAAACTTCAAACCAAAAGTTATTCTGATGAATCTTAAATTCATAGAACTGTAATTCAACTCCATGCAGAAAGGACCTGACCCCAAAACTGGAAACATAACTAAAAGCATTATCGGGGTAAGGTATGCGTCACCAACCCTGCTACCATCCCCTAAAATAAATATAAACACAGATATACACGTATGTGTGCATGTGTGTATATGCGTGTGCAGATGCACGCACGCATGCCAATGATATCCTTGGGGCTGGCTTCGTTTTTAATGGCTGTGCGGGTGGAGGACAGCGTGGCGGGGTGCCCCTGCGAGGGTCAGGAACTGACCCGGGCCCGCTCCTTCCTCACTCCAAAGAGAAGACGGGGCCTCAGCCCCGATCCGACCAGGCTCGGCTCCAGGCTACGCGGCCCCGCCCGACCCCGGCCCCCACGCCCCCCGCCGCCGCTCGGCCGGCCTCCGCCGCTCACCGTCGATGTTCTCCCGGTCGCTGATGTGCTGCAGGTTGCAGCCCGTGTCCTCGCGGCTCAGGTCCGCGTCGGGCCGGTAGGACTCCAGGCGCGAGTGCGCGTTCCTGCGGAGCTTGGGGCTGGCCGACACGCAGCACGAGGTCGTGGTCCCCATCTTCGGCGGCCCGGGGCGCGGGCGGGCGCTGAGGGAGGCCCGGCCGCCGGGTCAGCAGCGACGGCGGCGGCGCGGCCTCGCCATGGGCGGCGGCCCCGGCT